GGAAGGTGGACATAAAGTTCTGAGTATCATAAGAGAGGCAGATATAGGCTAGGGTTATAAATTTCAGAATCACCAGCAAAAGAATGGTAAACTAAGCCATGGCCTGAATAAAATTTCAGAGAATAAGTATAAATTAGTGAGACAAGGAGGAAGCCTGAAGTGAATCTTAATGATCCTAACAATTAAAAGTCARGTGGCAAAGAAAAAGTCAATACAGAGGACGCAAAAATAACAGTCAAACAAAAGAACAAGAAAATTAGTAGAGGGCACTCCATAAAAGCCACAGGAGAAAGTTCTCTAAAATGAAGGAATCAGTCAACAGTATGGAATGCTGCTCAGAGACCATGGAAGAAACTAAAAAACATCTACTTGGTTTAGCAATAAATTGACGAGCAACCTTCACAGGAGTTAACAGAAGCTCTATAGGACATGACACCAGATTAAAGTAGACCAATGAGTATAGGAAAATAAGAAAATGGAGGCAGCAAATACAGAAAACACTTTCATGAAACTTGGCTAAGAAAGGAAGGAGGAAAATGGCATGGGGTTTGGGGAATAAACTAAAGAATAAACAGAGAGGATCTGGGATTTGGGGTTGCTTTGTTGTTGTTGTTTTGTTTTTAGGATGGAAGAGAAACATGTTCAACGCTGATGAGAGAAGATGCTAATGAGGAAAACAAGAAACTATACAGAAAAGAGAATTTTCTTAGTTGTCACCTTCCAGGTTGCCAAGTAATCCTGTGGTTCTAAAAGTCAKCCTTCTCTATCAGTTATTTTAGACCCTATTTCCTCAAACCTCCAACCCCATATACTTCCTACTTTTAAAAAATAATAAGAGCAGAGAATTTCAAACTCTTACCCACAAATTTCCACCTTGATCCCATCTGTTCTTGTTCCTATTGAATGTCAAAGAGAAATGGCTTTCTCTTAACTTCAGTCAACCTTGACCACAATACTCTTRTGACTTTAGGAACATTACTATTCTCTTAGTCTTATTACTTCTATGATTATTCCTTCTCTGTCCCTGGACTCATTCTCATTTGTCCATCTGTGACTCTTCTTTTTCCTAATTATAAAGTTTTTTTTTTTTAATGGATCTTTCATTTTCATTTATTTATTTATATGTAGTGCTGAGGATCAAACCCATGGCCTCACACATGCCAGGCAAGTGCTCTAGCAACTCCAGCCCCTTATTTTCTTTTATATTGTATGTTATACCTTTCAAAACATTTTCTCGTGTCTCCATTTGATCCCTAACTTGTTGAACTGCAAATCTCAACTGACATATAAACATAAAATAAGGGTTTTTCCCCATAACTACTCTGTTGAATCCTAAATCTACTAAGTATGATCAGTAAAATTCCAAAATTTTTCAGTCATATTCAATGATCAAAGCATAGTTTTTAAATTCTATCTATGGACAACATGCCTCATTAGCACAAGTGAGAATTCCACAGCCTCTACCAGATGCCTGTGGTGGGAAAGGGCAAGGCTTGTTCTTACTGGCTCTCTCCTCCGTTCCTCCCCCATGCTTCTGCTCCCACTCTCCTTCTTTTACAAACTTACGTCTTCTTCCATAAGTAGCAGCTGTAAGAAAAGAGCAATATTCTACTTACAAAGCTTGCCAAACATTAGTGATGGGTCTGCCACAGTCATCAGCTGACCTTTTCTACAGGGCTCAAATTATGCCAACTGCCAACWGAATCAAGTGCTACCAGGAAGCATCGCATCCATGGTTTTTCTGATTCAGTCTGAAGTCAGTGGCTTCTAACTAACCTATGTGCTGATGGTGATTTCTGCACAGGTAGCACACATGATCTCTAGGCAGCATGCAGGTTCACCCTTGTTCCTGCTGCCCAATTCCATCAGAATTTTGCATACATTCACATAGCCAAGGATTACCTTAGGAAGCCCCTCAGCCTTTAACATCTTCAGTTATGTTTATGCTCCTTCTCTCACATAAAACATAAATCTCACCAGTTTCCTCTTTACTTGATCACAGAGAACTCCTTCAGAAGCATACTACTACCCTAGAGATCCTTCAGACCCAGCTTACCTAGAATACTCTAGTAAGCCTATTGTGCTACAAAATCTCTTAGACACACATAAGCATCAGTCTCTGTATCTGAGGGTGCCCCCAAACTTCTGGGAATATGCTTCTAACTCTCCCCAAGTTAAAATGAAAACAGGGAAAGGAAAGTAAAATGTGTTCCCAACATTCTTTCCCTCCCCCCAACTCTTTTAACACATTCAAGACACACCAAAATCATTCAGCACATCAAATATCCTGGCAGAGAAAAGATGCCAGTCCCTCCTCCCTGCAGCCACACCCACAAACTTCAAGAACACTTCATTAAAGTTTCATCTCATTTTTTTGAGAGCATAAGTTGATGAGATAACCACCACTTCATTAACTGTACATAGCCCAAAAGGCAATCTCCTCCAAGCCCACCCTCTAGCCCATTTTATAAGGGGGCAAGAGAAACATAGGGRTGGTGATTAGAGTATGGCTTTGCTGGGATGTCAGTTCCTAGCAAGTCAAGCAATGAAACAGTTGATGTCATAACAGACACATCCTCAAACTCAAAAAAGTGAAGAATTTAGCCTCTTTTAATTACAGAGGGAAGTGTGGTCCGTATTCCTGGGTAAAAAGTAAAAATATTTTTCACGAACATGCTACACTTATCATGTGAATTGCATAACAAAGATGGTACTAACTACACTTTACATATGGGACACAAAACTGAACTGTGGTTATTTAATTAAGGCTAAAACACAAAAAATCACAAATGAGGATAAATCCTTTAGAGCATCAACAAAAACAAGAATTGAATCTACATGCAAAATGAAGGGAAATCCCTGAGTTACATATCTACAAAGTACTAACCAAATGAGGATATAGATGGCAATGCTTTGATAACTAAAATAGAGAAATATGTAAACAAAAAAAAAACACTAGTTATTACCCAGCATATGCTTAGACCAAATGTTAAACTGTATCAATTTACATTACCAGCTGTAAGTCCTAGAGAAGGCCAAAAGAGAAAATAAGAATAGCTTTCTCCCAGATTTTACTTCTCAGCATAAGTCTTTGAGAATCTTGGCATAGTACAAGCATTCCTCTCATTTTCTCAAAACCTTCTCCATCTTTTAATCTACATCTTACATAAAAAAAAATTCTATTACTATTAAACTTTCACAAAGCTTTAGATAAATGAGTGACAGAGCCAGAAATAAGTTACATTTCTAGCTTCCTCAAACACAGAAGTATCAGAGGCAGATGCCAGAGTTTCTGCTTGCTAAATGAGACTCGATTATAATTAGTCAATCTCACTTCTCTAAAGAAGTACATATTTGGGCTGGGGCTCAGTGGTAGCACATTTGCCTGGCACTTGTGAGGCACTGGATTTGATTCTTAGCACCACATATAAATAAATAAATAATCAATGTCTATCAACAACTAAAAAAAAAATTTTTTTACAAGTAGTACATATTTCCCAAACAAATTTTTTTGGTTTGGTTTGGTTTGGTTTTAATTTTCTTTTTTTTTTTTTTTTTTTGTAGTTGTAGAGGGACAGCATACCTTATCTTATTTCTTTAATTTTTTTAMGTTTTTGATGGACCTTTATTTTATTTATTTATACATGGTGCTGAGAATCGAACTCAAGGTCTCACACGTGCTAGGCAAGTAAGCTACTGCTGAGCCCTTATTTATTTTTATGTGGTGTTGAGGATCGAACCCAGTGCCTCACACATGAAGTGCTCTGCCACTGAGCTACAGCCCCAGCCCAGTCATATGTCATTTTTAATCACAAAAATCAAAGAATCTGGTGAATTGATTGATCTCTATGACTGACCTGGAGATGATCTAGACCCACATGCTCTTTTTTAGAAGCTAAAACCCAAAACTAAGTCAGTAGTGTCTTCCATTGTAATCTGCTAACTCATTATTCTTTAAGGATATGATTTTAYTTAGAAGTGTTTCTCTTAAAACATAAAAAGTTTTTACATAATGACAATAATAATATTAATTGTGACTACCATATCATGTATTTGGACAATTTCAACTACCGCTCATTTTGAAACTTGGTTTTGATGAATATTTTCAAACTAGTCTAAAATTCATTTTTGTTCTTTCCAATTTAAGAGAAAACACAACTGCTGTCTCTTTGACCCTTCATATAATTCTAAAGCTAAATAATGAATTCCAAGGGTTTCAACCATATTCACACTTAAAACAGAAGTTATCTCTTTAATAATTATATGAAGACATATTGCTTTGGTTTTTCTCAAAATAATTTTTTCAATAAAAAGTAATATAATATATAATTAGTATTTACTAAAATGCCAGGCTTTCTGGTGAATTTTTACAGATAGACTATGTTATATGTCTGTTTAATATCCTATTATAATCACAAGGTTATCTAAAATTAGAAAACACACCTTACGATGACATCCCAATCCCACCCAGGATTGTTTATGGTTAGCCATCAATCTCACTTTTCCCTGACCAGAGTGAATTAGGAGAATGATAAGTATCTCAACGGAAAGGGAGCAGTGTTCAATTAAAGACATTAAACATGAAACCAAAGAATGTGAAAATCTCACTAGTGCCACCTACTGTACCAACAGAGAATGCAAATAAGAAAGATTTTTAAAATTTKTGTGTGTGCTTCTGTGTGTACATCCCCCAATATTTGATTCCTTCCTCAGGATTATGTATCAGCTTTCTACCAAATCTTTCACAGAACATAAAAGCACCATAAAAATCAGATCATGCCAAAAACAAAGACTTTAAAATCAAGAAAAGTTCAAGCACAATGTTCATTTTAGTGTAAAATCAAAAGAAAAATTTTTCCTAAGAAGTAATGAAATAAAATGCATATAGAATTTATTAAAACTAAAATAAGTGAGGTAAACGATCAAGGAAGATGTAGCAAAAATTGGAGCATAAGATGAAATGAAACACAAACCGCAAAGCATAACTTTGCATAACTTACCTTACATTCCACCACACTCTGATCTGATTCACAAGTTACRTAGATTTCATCTACTGCACGTCGAAGATTGTCAAAAAGAAATGCCCAGTACCGAGCTCTAAGATCAATTTTCCGAGGATGCCTTGTTTTAGTGGGACTTTTATCAAAGTGTTTATCTCCAACTGCAGATGTTATCTTACAGTCTATTGCAGTATTCTAGTCAAATAAAATACATGAAAAAAATATAAAGCTTTCAGGGACTGTTGTTTTGTATAAAGCACATTTTCAACATAAATACTTTTATCTAACATCGTGCTTGAGTTCCTCAAAACAAAGTTTCTCACCTTAAAGTTTCTCACTGTAAAATGGACAGGTTTATAAGGTCAATTTTTATTTTAGACAAGTCTTACTGAAGATTATGATGACTTAGGTGACTCAACATTTAGCAATGGGAGTGCTAAAGTTATTCCTGATTTACTGGAACACATGTATGGCACATTCACATATATTAACAAATAATAAATAGCAATGTCAACATTTTGAAATTGCTTGTATATATTCATTTACATATTCCACGTACTAGTTGTACTTGGGTGTAGTGTCATCTTTCTACATTTGTTGTGTGGATTTTTAAAAACCTATCTAGTTCATGAGACTTACCAATATATTTCACATCTTTTTACAAGCAACTTTTCCCAAAGAATCACTTTTCTTCTTACTGAAGTACATCTTTAACAGTTCTTCATTAAGAATTTGTAAATGGCTGCTATAGTTTCAAAGATTTCCCAAAATCAGTGTGTTGGAAATATAATCCCCAATGCAACAGTTTTAAAAGGTGGGGATCTTTAAGGTATGATTAGGTCACACGGGCTCTCCCCATATGTATAAATAAATGTCATTACTGTAGGAGTCAGTTTGTTATCATGGAACTGGTGTTCTCTTCCTTCTTCTTGTGCACATGAAAGCACACTTTCTTGACATATGATACCTTCTTCCACAATAGGATTCAGCAAGAAGGTTTGCACCAGATATGGCCCAATGACCTTGGACTTCTCAGCCTCTAGAACCTTGAGCCAAATAAACTACTATTGCTATGACATAATGCAAGCAAAAAAAAAAATGAACTAAACAATAAAAAACATGGACTAAAACAATAGTAAAAATTTAGTCTTACCATATAAACTGGCTATATTTCACTCTTACACTTAAATGATCATTTGACTAAGCACAGAATTCTGGGTCAAAAGTTATTTTGCTTCATAACTTTGAATCATTACTCCATTGGCCTTTCATTGATAACAATTCTATTAACCTGTCATTCCCTAGCAGGTTTACTTYCTGACAATTTTAAGGACATTTTTCCTTAACTATGATGTTTTGAAGATTCTCTAGAATGAATTTGAGTATAAACCTATTTTATCCACCCTACTCAGCTCCAGTTGAAGCCCTGAAGCTCTTGAGAATTCAGAAAGTGAGGGATATTTTCAATACACCCATTATTTATTCTCTACTTTCAGAAGACTTAGTAGACATGTTATTAGAATTTCTCAATCTTAAGTTCTCTTTCACATTTTCCATTTCTGTAATTCTCCAAGTTATATTTTAAGTTGTCCTCCAATTCACAAATTTTCTTTCAGTAAACTCTTTGTCCCATATATTGTTTATTCCATTAATTGAAGATTTTCAAAATTTCACTGATAACACATTCATTTCTAAGATTTTTATCTGGGTTTCTGTTTAATTATAAATTTTCAAAATTAATATTCACCTATTACATTTCTAATTTCTCCATCTTGCATTATAGTTATTCTAACACTCATTGCTTTAAAAGTTTAAAAGTTCTCTTTAGAAAAAATGTCATTTCATTACCATCTCATTTGTGGAATACTCTATTTTATGATGCTACTTTCCATATGTGATTTGATATTTTACTTTGCAAACTTATTTTGAGATCGAGTTTCTGATCTTTTTACCTTTTTATTTTCTTCGCCTTTATGGTTACCAACAATCTAGCCCACTATTGTTCCACTTCCATGGGTCTTTTATTGGGGCCTTGTAAATCTTTACCTTTAAGAATATGACTGTTATGGTTTAGATATAAAGTGTCCCATAAAAGCTCATATATAAGACAATTCAAAATTTTTCAGAGATAAAATGAATAGATTATGAGATGTGTGACCTAAGCAGTGGACTAAACAATAGAAAACATGGACTAAAACAATAGTAAACATTTTTTTTTAATTTTAGTTATATATATACACAATGTGATACTGAGGATCAAACCCAGTGACTCACACATGCTAGGCAAGTGCTCTAACTGAGCTACAACTCTATCCCCTGGATTAATTATTGATGTGGATTAACTGATTAGTAACTATGCACAGGTAGGGTGCGGCATTCCCATTGGAATTGATCTTCTAGAAATCTATCCATTTTGGTTTTTCCCCCAACTCCTCTTACCTGTCAATATACATATTTGTTTTCTTCTCATCCACAAAGATTTTTATCTTACTTTTTAAAATATCCTATTTCCTTTTAAAAATTTTATCACTGATGCCTCTGTGTGTGGGGAGTGAAAATTATTTGTAAACTCACAGTGATATCTTAATTAGAAGTCCATGTTTTCCTCTTATAACATTTTTGTTTTATACAATACATCTAGTATATTAAAAAATACCAAACTAAAAYAACACATAACATATATAATGTATATAAATAAAACAACAATGAATTTAAAAGATAACTATACTTATGAATACTTTCCCAAAATTTAGGTAATTTGTGTTTTCCACAAATTTTAGTAAAGGAATTTGAAAACTTTTAGAGACAATATATACACTACCCTACAAACCTAAAGGCTTCAGATTAACACCAAGAATGAAGAAAAAGGAACTGTAGCAGAAGGGTTAAAATTAAAACTATGGAAACTGACAACCTGACTTCAAATACTGGCTGTGTCACTTACTAGCATGTTACATAGCCTCCTTGCCTCAGTTTCTTTTTGTAATATAACTTCACTTTTGTAAGTGAGGACAATAATAATGTCTACACCAAAGGGTTGTTATAAGTACCAAATAAATGTTAATAAGCATTATTATTTATAAATACTTAGCACAAACTAGGTACACATGAGTATAATATACACATTTGTTAAATTTAAAATGCTACATTAAATTTTTACATGAAGATAAAGTATACAATAAGTACTAAAATATTATATTTTATAACTTACAATATATTCAGGAATTTAAATTAAAAGTAACTAAATAAAAAGTAATATACGCCGTACCTGCTTAGTAGTTTTATGAGTGCCTTGAATTGTCCTCTTAGATTTTCCACCAGTTTGACACTTAGGTTTCCCTTCAAGGCAAGAAACAAATAAATAAGAAAATATTTAGAAAAAAGGGGAATGAAGGGAAGGGAGGGAGAATGGGAATAGGAAAGACAGAATGATTGGACATTACTAACTATGTGCATATATGATCATACAACCAATGTAATTCTACATTATGTACAATCAGAAGAATGAAAAGTTATACTCCATATATGTATAATGCCAAAATATATTCTACTGTCATGTATAACTAATTAGAACAAATTTTTTAAAAAAAATAAAAAAGTATTACYATTTTAAAAAATAGAAAACACAAAATTAAACTGTAGGTAATTAGATAATATAAAACTAAACTACAATAATTATCCAAGTATAATAACACAAAACTTCCATCCAGYGAACAAAAAACAGTACAATCTATGCATGATCAATGGAAACTACTGATGATACAGTTTTTTTTTTGTTTTTTTTTTAATAAAGGTAAATTTCCAAAGTCCCAGAGGCTGCTTTTTTTGAATGGCTTTCTCAGAATAAGAATAAATCAACTTCTAAAGAAGTCAGATAACCAGATGTGGTAGCACATGCCTGTAATCCCAGCAGCTCAGGAAGCTGAGGCAAGAGGACTAAAAGTTCAAAGCCAGACTCAGCAACTTAGTGAGATTCTGTCTCAAAAACAAAACAAATCAGTCTGTGGATATGACTCAGTGGTTAAATGCCACTGTGTTCAATCCCTAGTACCTTATAAAAATGAACACACACACACAAATGAATTACAGAAGTCAGATAATCTGACAATTTTTTTAAAAAAATCAAGTTACTGAAAAATACTTCCTTTACATTTATTTCAACAATAAAATTAAGAATATTTTTACCATAATAAAAAATTTTAATTTTTTTAAAAATATTTTTACCATATAATCCCAATATTTTATTTTTATTAATTTCTCTGCTTTATGAAATACACAGTTATATTTTGCAAAGGTTAAGGATTGCAGATTTAGCTCAGTGGTAGATCACATGCCTAGCATACAGAAGGCCCTAAATTCAATACCCAGTGCTTTAAAAAACAGAGGGTTTTTTATAGTCAGATGTCTCATTCTCTAACATGTACATAAGAAAAACTTCTTTTTTCTTCAARATAATTTTGAAGCAGGGCCCTGATGAAGAATAAGTGATATAAGCCATAACACACAGGCATTTATCCAACTCCCTCACTGGTCTACCAGACATAAAGGCAGAAAAATTACACTACATAGCTCTTCATTCATTCTGTTTACAGAATATACCAGCCAGAATTTTTAGAAAAGCCAGCAGAAAAAACAGCTTGGAACAAACATCAGAGGAAAAGAAAGAACYAAAGAAGAGAGCCCTTGTTTAAAATGGAACTATCATCCTCAGAAATATTTGAGTATACATATATATATTGTAGCCATACTATAATAACAAGCTGCTATTATAGAAATTAACATTTTTCGAGAGAAAATAACTGTCAACCAAGATTACTACATCCAACAAAGCTATCTTCAAAATCAAAGAGAAATAAAAAACTAACTCCAAAATAAGCAGATACCAAAAGAATTAATGACTATTAAACTGGTAGTAKAGATGACACTTAAAGGAAATACTACATACAGAACAAATTAAAAACTAACTCCAGGGCTCAGGATGGATAAACCTCATTGGAAGCACAGATAAGCATATGAGAAACAGGACCAAATTAAACATTAGAAATAAGTAAAAATGGCAAGAATTAATAAACATCTCTCTAGAAAAGCACTGAATATAAATAGTCTCAATTCTCCAATGAAAAGGTATAGACCAGCAGAATGGATTAAAAAACAAGACTCAACTATATGTTGTTTGCAAGAGACTCACCGCAAAGGCAAAGACATCCACAACTGAAACAGAAAGGACAGAAAATGATACATCATGCAAATGGAGCCTGAAAACAAGCAGGAGTRGCTACTCTCACATATGACAAAGCAGATTCCAAAGGCAAAATTAATCAGGAGAGACAAAGGTCACTTCAAWTTRGTAAAGGAAACAATAAAACAAGATAAAACAACAGTCAACATGTATGCCCCAAATGTCAATGCATCTAAATATGTAGAATAAACATCATTAAACTTAAAGATTCAGATAGGCCTCAATATAATAATTCTTGGTGATTAAACACACCTTTCTCACCAACAGAGATTCTTCCGACCTAAAAAACATTAATCAAATGAACCTAACAAACATCTACAGATTGTCAGTTTAAAAAGACAGATGTTGTGTTCAATAAATATAAGAAAAGAATTTTGGAAGGGAAGGAAGAAGTATAGGAGCAAGAGTAAACTATTGATTTTTGAATTAATATCTATAAGTCTAAAAATATTTTTTGAAAAAATTACTCATTAATAACCAAAAAGGAAAAATTTATAGTGAAGAGACTTGGTAGACATATGAACTAATTAAAGTTAACATCACTGATAATGAGATAGTGTGATAATTTGATASATGTATACAACAAATAAATTGGGGTAATTAATATTTCCATCTTCTTAAAACATGTATCCTTTATTTGCACTGGGATCCTTCAAAATCCTSTCTTCTGGTTTTGTTGGCGGCAGTGGTGGTGGCAGTGTTGGTATTTTATTTTTGTGGAGCTGGGGATTGAACATGGTACCTCACACATGCTAGGGAAGCACTCTAGGCTACTTCCCAATTGTTTTTATTAAAACAAATGGTAACTTGTAAACTATAAGAATTCAGGAAAAGAAAAAAATTTAAATCTCTTGTAACTTCTCATTTGCCAATCATAATAATATAACAAGTGCAATTTCATTGTTATCTGAAACAGCAAAGCTAACAATATCACTTTTATTAAGCCATTTGTATATAAAAGCAATTAAAAATTATTTGACATATACTAATTTTCTCAAGAGTTCTAACTGTGAACATCCAACTTTCAATCTATTTATCATTTAGAACAAAATATATCCTTCCAATTTTTTCTGTTCTGTTTTGTTTTGTTTTGTTTGAGATGGGGTCTAGCTATGTTGCCTAGGCTGGCCTTGAATTCCTGGGCTCAAGGGATCCTTCTGCCTCAGCCTCCAGAGTAGTTAGAACTACAGGTATGGTGCCTGTCTATCATAGTTTACAACAAAGATGAAACCAATTATTTTACAATACATACCATCATCATCCTTGCTTTCCAATGGAACACTCCAAGCTATTAGGTTTCTTGCTGTGCGACCCTCCTCTGCAACTATTCTCCTTACTTTATCATGACTATTGGAACGCTGGAACGAAGCCTAYGTATAAAAAAGAGAAAATTATTATGCATTAGATAAGTCAATATACAGACCATATTTGAGAACATTATTTCCCACATTTTCTCAAAAAGGAGACATTTAAAACTAATTTGGAATTTAGAAGGTGGTTAAACAGAAAAGAAAGTCAATCGTAATTTTTTTTAAAGCTTTTAACTTTAAAAGCTTTAAAAAATTATTTCAAGAATAAATATAATCTAAGGTTTGAAAAAGTGTCCAAAGAAACATAAGCAYTGCTGTGTGTCCATATCAGCACCACCACTTACATATTAACAGGTTCAAGGGAAACAGACCACATTTTACAAACATGCTATAAATTTCCTCTGAAAATTCTCTGCACAATAAAATGTTTTTTAAAACTCCTTTTTTTTTAAAGTGAATTTCCAGGGTTGGGGTTGTGGCTCAATGGTAGAGCGCTTGCCTAGCATATATGAGGCACAGGGTTTGATCCTCAGCACCACATAAAAATAAATAAATAAAGTGAATTTCCACTCAGCTGTTAACTGCATGATTAATTCTAAGCTACTGGGATCTAAATAGTAATTACTAAAACTGACATATTTAAAATGCAAATTGTAAAACTCAAACTACTTTACAAAATGTATGTGATTTATTTCCTACTGTAGACCCACCCAACCTACAAGCAGCACTAAATGACAAGTTTAGCTCCACCAAGACCCTGAGCCAGCTGGGACCCAGGCCCAATAAAACAAACATTGGTTCCCCACTAATAAATGCAAATATGAGCCAGATGCAGTAGTACTGTCACTTGGGAGGCTGAAGCAAAAGGATCACAAGTTTGAGGCCAACCTCAGCAACTTAGCAAGTCCCTGTCTCAAAATGAAAAATAGAAAGGACTGGAGGTCTAACTCTGTGRAAAGAGTGTCCCTGGGTTCAATCCCAAAAAAATTACATATGCATGTATATATTTATCTATTGATAAATAAATGTACCTACTTGTTAATTGATAAATATTTACACGCATACACACACTACAGAAAATAACCTGTTTTTATAAGCCAAGTATGTATGGGAAGAAAGGGATCCTAAAGAATCCACATGAGCAGAGAATCCCATGCAGGCAATTGGCCTCTATATCAAACAAGTTCACCACTGGGCCCAGCATAAAATTCCAGTCCAATTAATGTGTGTTTTCATGCCCTCTCCTAATCCTTCTCAGCCTAGTCAGCATGTCTGGAATCCTTAGGCAACAATACATTCACTGGAAAAGAAGCATTTTCTTTGCAAAGAAGCATTCAAGACAGTGAGAAAATGTAAGTTGACCCTTAAACAACACAGGTTTGAACAGAGCAGATTCACTCATGAGCAGATTTTTTTTTTTAATTTCCAACAATTTGAAGAAACTTAAAGACAAACCATACATCCTATAAATATTAAATTTAAAAATTARATATGTCATGAATGCATAAAATATATGTAGACAATAGTGTATCATTTACTATCATAAATATACAAATATCTGTTATAAGAAGTTAAAATGTATCAAAACTTATACACACAGACTATAGTATTCACAGTTGAAAATGTAAACAAATGCAAAGATGCAGTATTAAATCAGAACTGTATAAAATTAAGTGAGGCAAAATTCTCAGCTCTAAATATCTACAATATTTTACTTATCCAATTCAAAATATAGTTTCAGAATTGTTAACCTATATCCCTATGAGAAACATATTTACTAACTAGATTATGGCATTTCTGTATAGATCTTGTCCTTAGCTTTTTCCTGTATTCTATGAAAGTACTGTTTTCCAAAATCATCAAATTAGTTCTTATTCCCTTCAATATGGTTATATTATTTACTTGTAATATGATACTATTTACATTCCATTTTGGGTTCTCCTCACCTAGTGGTTGATTTTTAATTCTTGATTATTTGGGGAATATGTTAAGAAAAAGCAACATATTTCTCTCAAAGGAACTTRGTAATGACTAGTATAACTTCAGAGGAAGAATAAACTCTCTGAACTCTAGAGCAAGGGTTAACAAACTTCTTCTACAAAGGGTCACATAATTTTTTTAAGGCTTTACAGCCTGTTGAGTTTAGATGCTGAATGTCTCAAAGGTTCATGTGTTAGAGAACTGGTCCCCAGAGGGGCACTATCAGGAGGTAGAGTATTATTTAGGAGRTAGGCCTAATGAGAGGTTATTAAGTTATTGAGGGTGTGTCCCTACAAAGGATTTTGAAACCCCAAGCTCATCCAGTCACTTTCTCCTTGCTTCCTGGCTGATGAGATGAGCAGTTTCCTCCACTACTCACTCTCCCCCCATTGCCATCTGGCACATCCACCAAAGAAGGCTCAAAGCTGTAAGTTCACTCAATCTCTGGAACTTCCAAAACTGTGAGCTAAAATAGACTTTTTAGCTTTATAAATTAAATGTTTCAGGTATTTTATTATACAGACAGAAAGATGACTAACACAGTCCATAAGGTCTCAGTAACATGTACTCAAGTTTGTCATTTTATGGGAAACAGCCAGACAATTGGTGAGACTGTGTGATGAGAAGCCAATTATGAGATAAACAGATATTACTTTTTATTTTGAAATAAATTCAAATTACAGAYAAGTTACAAATTAGCCAAAAGAATATCCAAAATATCCTCATATTTTTGTGAGACATTTGAAATATAGTTATGATAGTCCTTGCCAGTGACACATCAATATGTATTTCTGATATGCAAGGAAACTCTCCTGTATTTCCCAGTTTTTACAACTATCAAATTCAGGATATTATCAAAATTATTACCTAAAATACAGTAATTATTTAAATTGCCCAAAGACAATACTTTCATAATATAAAAAGAACTTGATAAAATACACTAGCCCAATTCATCCAGAAGCTCTATAAACTCCGAACAAGATAAATTTAAATACCCAATCAGAGAGAAATTTGAAGATGGCAGAATGGAGCTAGGTGGCAATCCCTGACCTTTCCACAGCATACAAAGGAGGCAGTGAAGACTGATTGGAGAGAACCATAGGTTTATACCTAGATTAAGGAAATATGGAGAATAGTATCAAGTTTTTTTTTATTAAGTTCAACAGTACATGGCTTTGCTCTGAAATAATTACAGTAAATAGGGTTCAGTGGCCTCTCTCAAAGTGGTGCTGCTGCTGGCAACAGCTTAGGACACACATTGAACATTAATCCCCAGATATTCACTCAGCCCAAGGTTCTTAAGAGAAAGAAGCTCTAATCCCTTGCATAAAAGAAGCAATAATCATACCAATCAATGGTATTTTGGTATGACCACACAAGCAGCATAAAAACAAACAAACAAACAAACACCCCACAACACTTCAACACTAACGCCAATGACACCATAGTGGAGAAAATACTGGAGGAAGAATTTAGAAACTTTATGGTTAAAATGTTCAACCAGCTTAAAGAAGATATGAGGAATACACTTAGAAAGTATAGGCTGTGAAAGATCATTTCAATAAAGAGAGAGAAACCAAATGGAAGTTCTGAAAATGAAAGACTCAATAAATCAAATTAAAAATTCAATGCAAAGTGCTAGCAATAGATTAGACCACTTTGAGGCCCTGAAGACAAAGTTTTGAAAATAAAGTCAATAATAAAGAACAGATGTTAAAAGACTATGACCAGAATATTCAAGAAATCTGGGATAACATCAAGAGACTAAATATAAGAATCACTGGGGGCTGGGGTTGTAGCTCAGTGGTAGAACATTTGCCTTGCATGTATAAGGCACTGGGTTCAATCCTCAGTACCACATAAAAATAAACAAATAAAAAGTAAAGGTATTGTGTCCATCTACAATTAAAAAAAMMWTTTTTTTTTTTTTAAGAATCATTGGGATAGGGGCTGGGGTGGTAGCTCAATGGTAGAGTGCTTGCCTTGGATACACGAGGCCCTGGGTTCAATCCTCAGCACCACATTAAGTAAAAAATATATTTAAAAATAGAAGACTCATTGGGGTAGACCAAGGTGCCAAAATACAAAGTAAATGAAAACACAACCTTTTCAATTAAATAACATTACAAAATTTTCCAAATCTTAGGAACAAGATGGAAATCCAAATATGAGAGGCATATAAAATAGGATGCAAAAAGATCCTCTCCAAGACTCGTTATAATGGAAATACCTAATATGCAGAATAAGGATAGCATTTTTAAAAATCACATGAGAAAAACAGCAGGTCATGTTTAGAGGTAAACTAATTTGGATTTCAACTGATTACTCAATCCAAATCCTAAAACCCAGGAAGGCATGAAATAATATATACCAAGCCCTGAAAGAAAACAGGTACCAACCAAAATTATAATATCCAGCAAAATTGYCCTTCATAATTTTTGATGAAATAAAAACCTTCCATAATAAGCACAACTAAAGAATTCATAACCACTAAGTCAGTACTATAAAATATACTCAATGAAATGTCCCTTGAAGAAGACATGAAAAATAGAACTGAAAACAAGCACAGGAAAAACTTCTACTGGAAGAATAGTTTATTAAAGGGGAATCAAGTACAAATTTAGCATTAAAATCAAAATGGCAAGAAATAAAAATCATCTCTATTAATAATGTAAAAAGTCGGGCAGAGGTTGTGGCTCAGTTGTTAGAGTGCTTGCCTAGCACATATGAGGCACTGGGTTCGATTCTCAGCACCACATATAAGTAAATAAATAAAGTCAATCAACAACTAAATAAATTTTTTTAAATGTAAGAAGTCTACAAATTCTTCAATCAAAAGATATAGATTGGCAGATTGGATTTAAAAAACAAGACCCAATCAAACAATGTTTATAAGAGATTCATCTTATAAAGACATCCACAGATTGAAAGTAAAAGAATGGGAAAAGATATATCATGCAAAATGGTAGCTATAAGCAAGCAGGGGTAGCTACTCTCATATTACACAAAGTAACTTCAATCCAAAATTAATCAAAAGAAACAAAGAAAGTCATTTCATACTGATTGAAGTAATACGATAT